TGGTAGGTGACATCCTGCACACTCGGGGGGTCAGTATGGGGGAGATTTGGGGGTTCTGTAGAGACAGGAGGTGACAGTGGGGGTTGGGAGGATGGGGGTTATAGTACTTCTTCTTCTTAGATTCCTGTATATCTCATAGTGGCTGCAGACACCCCATATACATCTGTACCCCACCATTGTGTATACGAGAGGTATGTGTGTGTTACATTACTCTACCCCTCATGTGTACCCCACTATTTCATATAACCTGCACCCCCATAACACTGACCCCTCTACACCCCCCTGTACTCCGGTGTACCCCACTATTAATTGTAACCTGCACCCTGATAACACCAAACCCTTTACCCCCCTGTACTCCAGTGTACCCCACTATTATGTGTAACCTGCACCCTGATAACTCCTAACCCGCCACCCCCCTGTACTTCGGTGTACCCCACTATTATGTGTAACCTGCACCCTGATAACTCTTAACCCTCCACCCCCCTGTATTCCAGTGTACCCCACTATTATGTGTAACCTACACCCTGATAACTCCTAACCCGCCACCCCCCTGTACTTCGGTGTACCCCACTATTATGTGTAACCTGCACCCTGATAACTCCTAACCCGCCACCCCCCTGTACTTCGGTGTACCCCACTATTATGTGTAACCTGCACCCTGATAACACTGAACCTTCTACCCCCCTGTACTCTAGTGTACCCCACTATTATGTAAAAACTTACACTAACCCCCCTCACCACCCAGTACTCTGGTGTACCCCACTTTTATATATAACCTGTTCCTTAATAACACTGACCCCCATACCTCCCTGTACTCTTGTGTACCCCACTATTATATATAACCTGTACCCTAATAAAACTATGACCCCTCTACCTCCCCGTACTCTGATGAACCCCACTATTTTTAAAAACATTTACCATAATAACACTGCCCCCCCCCCCATACCTCCCTGTACTCTGGTGTACACCAATATTATAAAAATAATAAAAATATAACCCTTATCCTAATAACACTGACCCCTCCACCTCCCTGTACTCTGGTGTACCCCACTATTATATATAACTTTTATAGAAAACCTGTACCCCAATAACACTGATCCCTCTATGTCTTAGTAGTCTGGTGTACCCCACTATTATAAATCACTGGTACCCCGATGACATTGATCCTTCTATGTCTCAATATTCTGGTGTACCCCACTATTTCACACAACCTGTACACCAATACAAATAAAAGTTACACCCTCCCTGTCTCCTCGTGTACCCCACTATGATATATAACCTGTACCCCAAAAATACTAATCCCTCTTTATATTTTAGTACTTCAATGTACCCCACTATTATAGATAACCTGTACCCCAATAACACTGACCCCTCTACCCTCCTTGCACTCTGGTGTACCCCCTTCCGACTCCACATGTGCAGGTAACACACAGCACACAGACCTACGACTCCACATGTGCGGGTAACACACAGCACACAGACCTACGACTCCACATGTGCGGGTAACACACGGCACACAGACCTACGACTCCACATGTGCGGGTAACACACGGCACACAGACCTACGACTCCACATGTGCAGGTAACACACAACACACAGACCTACGACTCCACATGTGCGGGTAACATACAGCACACAGACCTACGACTCCACATGTGCAGATAACACACAGCACACAGACCTACGACTCCACATGTGCAGGTAACACACAGCACACAGACCTACGACTCCACATGTCCGGGTAACACACAGCACACAGACCTACAACTCCACATGTGCAGATAACACACAGCACACAGACCTACGACTCCACATGTGCAGGTAACACACAGCACACAGACCTACGACTCCACATGTCCGGGTAACACACAGCACACAGACCTACGACTCCACATGTGCAGGTAACACACAACACACAGACCTACGACTCCACATGTGCGGGTAACATACAGCACACAGACCTACGACTCCACATGTGCAGATAACACACAGCACACAGACCTACGACTCCACATGTGCAGGTAACACACAGCACACAGACCTACGACTCCACATGTCCGGGTAACACACAGCACACAGACCTACAACTCCACATGTGCGGGTAACACACAGCACACAGACCTACGACTCCACATGTGCAGATAACCTACTGCACACAGACCTACGACTCCACATGTGCGGGTAACACACAGGACACATACCTACGACTCCACATGTGCAGGTAACACACAGCACACCGACCTACGACTCCACATGTGCAGATAACCTACTGCACACAGACCTACGACTCCACATGTGCGGGTAACACACAGCACACAGACCTACGACTCCACATGTGCAGATAACACACAGCACACAGACCTACGACTCCACATGTGCAGATAACACACAGCACACAGACCTACGACTCCACATGACACAACACAAAATCTCTATTACATTCCAGCCTTGTTCTGCTCTTCATCAAAGACATCAATTTTTGTGTACATGACCCTTTGTGTTTCTGTGCTGCAGATGGAGAAATTACATTGAAGATGGCGGATTTATACAGCTGTTCCTATAACGCCTGACTGACAAGGTAATTGCCCGACTTAGGGGCCAGTCTAGGGGTAAAAGGGACCCTGTCCTCAGGAGCTTACAGTCTAGAACTATAATGAGACCCTGTCCCCAGGAGCTTACAGTCTAGGGGTATAATGAGACCCTGTCCTCAGGAGCTTACAGTCTAGAACTATAATGAGACCCTGTCCCCAGGAGCTTACAGTCTAGAGGTATAATGAGACCCTGTCCCCAGGAGCTTACAGTCTAGAGGTATAATGAGACCCTGTCCCCAGGAGCTTACAGTCTAGAGGTATAATGAGACCCTGTCC